AAAGTATTCTTTGAGTTGGAGATGGCGAAAGTAGGCTTCCAGGTTACCGCAGAACTGTATCATGTTGGGGGCGGGGGGGCAAAAAGAATGTCCCCGAGATAGGACAGACTCTTCTGCAAGGCTGACTGTGTAGCTGGATAGATTGACCATATTGCTGGGTGAGTTAGGGGTACCACTGTTGTGGCCCCATGTGGCAGGTAGGATTTTAGACAGCTTACAGTCCTTTTTCCTTTGTAGAGAGGTGAAGTGTGTAACGTAGATCTCCTGTCTTATTTTAGTATAATCCGTTTGTATGGAAGGTTGGTTATTTATGAGAGTCTCCAGGTTGGAGAACTCTTTTTTGATGCTTATCAGGTGGTTCTTCAGTTTCTTTGATAGTGTATAGCATAATCTCTCACTATGGTCTGTGCAGAATGTAGATAGCAATGGATTTTTCACCTTTAGTCCATTTGGTATGATGTCCATCTGTTTGCATTTGGAAAGGAAGATGATATCTGTCTGTACTTGTGCAAGTTTCTTCATACACTATGAATAAAGTGTATTTATTCACTGATAAAGCAGGTGCTGTTGTCTTGCTTGCATATTTATACCTGCCTCTGGAAATTTCCACTACATGCATCTGGCAAAGTGGATATTCACCCATGAAAGCTTATGCTCCAATATGTCTGTTAGTCTTTAAGGTGCCACAGAAGTCTTTGCCGCTTTTACAGATCCAGACTAACACGGCTACTCCTCTGATACTCATAGATATTGCTCATTCTACTGTCATAAATCCTTGTGAATCAAGATACAGGTGAGGTTGGCATCCAATAGAACATTCTTGGAAAAGCTTTCAATACCAGTCATCTCAGGGTATGTCTACCCTGCCATTAGACACCTGCGGCTGGCTTGTGCCAGCTGATGTGGGCCAATGGGCTGTTTAATTGCAGTATAGGTGTTTGAGCTTGGGCTGGAGCCCAACCTTTGGGACATAGCTTGAATGTTTACACCGCAATTAAACAGCCTCTTAGCCCAAGCCCCATGAGCCTGAGTCAGCTGGCAATGGCCAGCCATGGGTTTCTAACTGCAGTGTAGACATACCCACAGTAAGTTATGTGGCAAGAATTCCTCACCTCATCCAAAGGACTAATCTTCTAGCCAATTTGAATAATAGAAATACTTTCCTTTCTAGGTTGCTCCTGATCATGACTCACAGCTTGGCGTAGAGAATCCTCCCCTGTGTTTGAGTTTAACTTTTCTCACTGAGGATGCCAAATAAGATCAGTCAAACATTATATGCCATACACTGGGTTGCAAAGATGAGGAATGAGTTTGTGCCCCATGGCTGCCAAAGAACAGAGCTAAAACCAGTAGTAAAGAAGTATGATAGCATTGTGGGGAGAGCGGAGTCTCCTGAATTACACTCAAGTACCATGGTGGGGAAGCCCCTAGAGGTTCAGTTGCAAAAAACATGAAAATCTGTGTTTTTGCTGAACAGAGCCCAGTGGGAAGAGATTACTGAGGTGTCAGAGTGTGGAGGTAGAAACATGAAGGGGAAGAATGGAGAAACTAAAACACACACATTTAAAAATCTTCTCTTGATAGACCCCCCACAACGCGACTATCACAAAATCTGTCACTTAGAATGATGCTGTTTTGAAAGCAGTTCCTATATATGTTGCACTCAGTGTTGTCAATTTTCATAATTTCATCACAGGTCTCACAATTGTTAGTGGTTTTCTTAAAGCTCCAGCTTCTCAAGTCAGATAGCTACAAAGTGAATCTCAGGTTTTATTTTTTAGAGAGTAAGTTTTTACTACTCCTAGTCACAGAGAAACTTGTAAATGTTACCAGAGTATACTTAATGGCCTAGAAACTAGATAATAAAAGAACCCCCTATTTAAAAAAAAACACATAATTTTTGAAGACCTAACTCCTGATTATTGAACACTTTGGGTTGGCAATTCTGAGTACTCTATAAATATTAAGGCCTGGTTTCCCAATTCACCAATCTAATAGGAGTTGTAACTCTATTAATCTGAATACAGTTATTCTGGATTTACAGTGGTGTGAGATCAGAATCGCTCTTCTTTTTTTTTTTTAACATCTTGGTAAAATTGCTGAACCAAATATTTTCATAAAGACCAGCATGGATTAGAAAAGAATACATAAATTTTATGGCAGACTGACCAAATAATCTAAAACACAATTTGCTAATATTTAAAATATGATCAAGTATAATAAAAGTGGTGAGGCAATTCTGCTCTTAGTAGTACTGTATATACCAATGTTCTAACGAATTTTAACTCTTCTGAAGTCAAGAATTTAGGCTGTGATTTTTCAAAACTGCCAAAAAGCACCCAACTCCCATCACAATTAAATGGACTTTGGGTGCCCATTTTCCTTAGGGACCGTTGAAAATCATAGCTTCAAATCATAAATGCTTTTAATACCTGATGTACGGTATTTATGGTATTTTAGGGTATAATCTCTCTCAGGCAGGGCCTATCTCCTCATACATGTTTGTACAGTGCCTAGTACATTTTGGGTGCTATTGAAATATGAATACAGCAACTAACAAATATTAGGCAATGGTTTATAACATCTTCATAGTCAGAACAAATTAATGACCTTTATACTTGTTTCTCTAAATAAACCAAAAATGTGCAGAAATATTAACTAACCCAACAAACATGCTCTGCATAGCTTTTGTTTAATAGTAAAGTAAAATTCTTTGTTAAATAATACAAATAAAAACTGAAGTGAATCTGATTCATGTTAAGACTGTGCTTCTGTGTGTCTAACAACACAAAAACATTTCACTTTTAGCACACCTGAATTGAAAATAGGTTGGTATTTCATGTCATTTAACATTTGGGCTCTTCTAAATTGCATTAAAATGGGAGCATAACAAAAAGAGAGAGTGAGAGATTAAAAATTAAACACTTCAAAATATTAAGTTCTTTTCTTCAGTCACATGAACAGATCAAAGTAATTTAAAAGCAAATATTTCCAACTTTTCATCCCCCAGACTTTGATCTAAGATGTTTAGATATCAGTTTTGCTGTATTATTCAGAACATGATAAATTTTGTAAATGATAGTAACTTGTTAATACGTTTGGAGATAACCATATTAAAATAAATAGAACCAATTGTACTTTAAGCAATATCTGGTTATATGTGGTTAGACATTGGTAACAGAGTGGTGAAATTGGAGCTTTTCCTTTTTTATTTTTTTGTTTTCCTTTGCTTCTTGTTGAATTCTGGCTTCTTTGAAGATGTATAGACTGGTGTGATAGTGTCCAAAGGCCATAAATTGTTAAACTATTTGTATAAATGTGTGTTATAACATTGTGTTTTCTGTTATTTCACAGTAGAAGCTGTATTGATTTCTGTTAGCAATCATAGAAATATTTCAAAAGCAATTAAAGGTACTAATGTTTAATTTGTAAATCATAGCTTGGCTTCGGTGGACAAATAGCCTCATGTCAGAAATGTACACATCCCTCTTCTCTGTTAACAAGGCGAGAGATAGCAGTTAAGAACCTATTTATGCAATAGGAATGACTGCAAAGACCTTTATTGTGCTGAAATAAGAAAATATACAGTGAGGACTGAATACTGTTATGACAGGAATTATTTTAAATTGCATTCTCTACAGAAATACCCATTGATATTACTTATGTGCGTGCGTACACACTGTAAAAGAAAAAGTCGTAGATCAATAGACTGTGTTAATAGCATGAAGGCAAATCCTGTTCATATTACTCATATGATTAGTCCCATTGTGTCGAATTCAGATATGCATATGCAACTCCCCTTGAAATCAAAGAAAACTGTGTAATAAAAGAAAATTTGGCCCATTAACTTTAATGGGACTCTCTGCATAAGTGAAAAACAAGCAGGATGTGGCCTACGAAGTGGACAATGCCTAGTAACTTATGTGTAAGTCCAGTTTCTGAATACAATGAGTTTACTCAATGAGTGGGCATTGTTTCCATTGAAATGAATAGTAAAATTTCCATTACCTTCAGAGAAAACAAAGGTTAATGCTGAACAATTTAGCAAATCTCTCGCCCAAAATGACCAAGTTGTAAGCAGAATCCTTGTCTTCATTCCATAAACAAAATTAACAGTGTCTCTTTGGGGAATCCCGCAGTTCTAGGTAAATTCCAGTGAACCTGAATAACAGATGAGCAAATACCTGCAGCTTATGGGCCAGATCCTCAGCTTGTGTAAATCTGGCTTGAATGGAGTACACAAGCCATTTGCCTACTGAGGATCTGGGCTATACATTTCTAAATTAAATATATTTAGCAACACTTATCAATTTAAATTTTCACAGTTGTGCAAAATTATAGCTTTTAATCATTTTTTCTATTTTTATCTATTTAAATTTTCAGTTGTGGGAAATGATGGGGGTCAGACAATAATTGTTGTAGACCCCGAGAGTCAAAAAGTTAAAGCCTTGTAATCATTAAAACACAAATAGCCAACATCACAGGTCAAGTTATACAAAGTAAGTGCGCTTAAACCAAACTCTAAGTTCTCAAGCAGCATTTTTCTTACTTCGCCTACTTGTAAATTTTGATTATTATCGATGGAAATATTTTTGTCAGAGTGTGTATGGTAAAATCGACATTTACTGACCGTTACCTATAAAAATCTAATCCTTCCAAATTTAGTTATATCTTGTCATTATCCTGTTGCAATATAGTCACACATGTACTGATCATATTTCCTGTAATGCAAGAAATAAAAAATGTGTGTGAGCACTATACTTTCAAGAGACCCTACTAGCATTCAAATTAAATTAATATAGAGAACAGCCATTTGATCCCATATTTTGATCAAACTAAATGTTCATTAACCTGGATGAATTGAAAATATTCTGAACAGCCTTGCTACCCACCACTATTTTTATGTCAATGCATTCATACTGGGAACAAAGAAAACATTACAAGTTATTTAAAATTATTTGCATAGTATTGATGTGAAATGCTTTCATTTTTCTCTTCAGGTCCTAAAGGGGTTTCCAGAATGCTTACAAGCTGACATTTGTCTACACCTCAACCAAAACTTGCTTCAGAACTGCAAAGCTTTCCAGGGGGCCAGTAAAGGTTGTCTCCGAGCTTTAGCTATGAAGTTTAAGACAACCCATGCTCCTCCTGGTGACACCTTAGTCCACTGTGGTGACGTTCTCACAGCTCTTTACTTCCTGTCAAGAGGCTCCATAGAAATCCTCAAGAATGACATAGTTGTAGCCATTCTTGGTATGTATTTGCAAACTAAGGAGATGGAATGTCATCTTTCTGCTAGCACATACTATAGAACAGCAGACTGAAAAAGTCCATTGCCATATTTGGTGCATGCACCCTGTGAATGACTGTCACTTTAATTTAAAATCAAGCTTCTTTATGACTAATTTAGCAGCAGCACCTACATAATATCCTCACCCCATGGTCAGGAAGGGGGCCTGTCCGTATCACAAGTAACTTTGCTGTACAGGGGAAGGGGTAGGATCTGGAGAGTCCATGCAGGGAGTAGAGAATCCCTGTGCACCAAAGAGCCCAGCTGCATGTGCATTTAGAATTTTCCCCGATCAACTCCAACATAAATACCTGCCTAAGTTAAAATTATGTGAAACAGCATTAAGGTACGCACTTCCCCCTCCTGTGAGTCAGTCCTATGGCACTGGCTGGTGACAGAATCCTTAGAGGTGAGGTTACAATTGGAGCTGGGTGAACAATGGATTTTTCCATGCACTGGCAATTCCAAAAAATTGGGAGGAAAAATTTTCACATCAAAACAAAAACAAAATTTTGAAAAATTGAAAAGTAAAAAAAAATCATTTTGAGTCCAACAAAATGTTTCATTTCAATTTTGATCATGTTAAACATTTTTGACTGATTTTTTTAACCGAATTAAAGGAAATGTTGAACCAAAAAGTCATTTGAACTTTAAAAGTGAAGTTTTTCATTTAGAAAATGTTGAAATTAAATGTTTTGATTTTTTGGAATTGGAGGGGAGGGGTCAACTGAAGCAATTTTTACAGGAATTCATGAAATGTTTTGGTGTTGACAAATCTGCATTTTTCACCAAAATAGTTGCATGCAAAAAATGTCACCTATCTTTAATTACAGTGGAGTTGTGTTGAACTGAGTCAATAGAAGTTTTGTCATCTACTTCACTGGGAGCAGGATAGAAAACACAGAGGGGAGAGAGAGGCTACTGCAGAGACAAATTACCTCCCTGTATTACCTGAGAGCCGCAGAGGTTTTGTGGCATAACAGACTCCTACTCTTATTGCAAACCCTATCCCTCTGGAAGGAATAATGCCAGGGAAACTGGAGGGAGAACCATGTGGAGCTTCCAGAACACCTTGGAGTAGATTGAACAATCTATCCCATGGAGACCATCTTAAAATATGTGAAAATAATTGTAGTCCTCAGTCAAGAAAAAAATGAGGGAATTATTTTTATTTTATTGGCTCTTGTGCTATGCTTGATTGCTGCTGCATTGTTCTGCAACAGTTTGTGACAGCAAGAATATAAACACATAGGAGAGTACAAATCAACAATAAAATGATATTGGTCAGAATGATGGGCTGGTTTAAATTAGCCTACATGAAATTAGCCTGCAATAAAACCTCTTTGAAAAAGAACAAAGATAAACAACATTTTGCCAAAAACATCTGCCTCCTGCAGAAAAGCACACAGGAGGGAAAATTAACATGGAAAACTCTTGTTGATGCATCCTTCCCTCCACTGGGACAGGTTTGCAGCCACACACAAGTAGCATGGCCAAAGCCCTCTGCAGTGTGCATATGTCCCCAAATCCTCAAAGAAACCCATAGATGTGAGGGGGATCTGAACAGACAGTCCGTCCCTCCTTGTTCCTCCCCAAATCCCCTCCTCTTGGCAGCATTTTCATTTGGGAGCCAAGCCATGTTATCACTACTGATCTGATTGCAGCAGCACACTAAAGCCCTTTCTGAGAGGGAGATAATGCAGCTCAGCATTATAATGGAAAATCCAATTGTCCTGGAGAGTATAATGCTACGTGGTTGGGCTGCTCCCAGTTCCTCCATCTCTGGACTGCCATTCCCCCCAGATTTGCAGAATTCCAACCATGCAATATATGCAGGGGGGAGCTTTTTAGCCTTGTTGGTTGAGGGGGGGCAAGGTTAGTATGATGGTTCATAGGTATTGCTACCTCTTTCCAGGTTTGCAGGCCGGAGCTGACAGGTGTTTGTGATCATTTTTGTCCCCTTTGTGCCTTGCAGAAGAAGGGATTATAGGGCAGAAACAAAGGTCAACATTTCCTAATTGGCCACTGATTCACTGAATTTGGGTACCCAACTTCAAACACTCTGGGCCCTATTTTCAGAGGAACTGCGTATCCACATCTTTGTTTTGAAGTATGGAGCTATGGGCGCTCAGCACTTCTGATAACAAGGTACAAAGTGTCTCAAGATGGGCACCCAAAATCGAAGTTCGCTCCTGAACATGTTGGCCAAAATCTTTGTAAATTTTTGAAAGATGGATAATGGAAATGAATTCTGGAGCCATTTCAATCTGAGGGCCTGATCCCACATACCTCACTGCATGCAATGGAGATTTTGCCTGAATAAAGTGTGGAGTGATTACAGAGTTCCTGGTCTTCCACAGTTACCAGAGATCAGGATGCAGCAGGATGCTCAATAAACAAGGGAGTTTGTAGATGGAGAAACAGTAGATGGAGAAATTAGAAGGATGGCAATGTGGTGATATATAGAGAGAGCCCTGCAGATCTGCGGCTATCCGCTTTATACGTGTGGATGTAGATAGCCACAGAATGTGTTTTTGGATCGTGGATCAGATATGGATACAAATTTTGTATCAGCGCAGGACTTTAGATATATATGATAATGTGATAGATGAAGGGTTGCTGTAGCCTGTTGGTCCCAAGATATTAGACCCAGAGAGAATGTTGGTGAGAGAGACAAGCTTTTGAGCTTACACAGAGGAAGAAGGAGGAGGAGAAGAGCTCTGTGTAAGCTCAAAAGTTTGCCTCTCTCTCCAACAGAAGTTGATGTGACATATGATATTCATGATATCATACTGTATGTCATGGTAGATTAAATATGATACAACATTTTGTAACTATGATATTTTAAGGCTAATGTGAACAAGTGTTATCAAAGTGATTACTGCAATATAATTGTCACAGATATCAAACTGTACTTGCAAGATATGTTAACAAAATTTAATATCAGATATTATTATACATTGTATACCTTATACCTTATACAAGGGAGTTTGTCAAAGAGTTCTCTAGTTACTGCTTAAGTCATGGTTCTTTGTGTCTATGTCCTCACACTACATATGCTATAAAAGATCAGATGCAGATTTTGGAAAAACAAGCACGTACGTTACTGACGACTATTTTAGTGAGAAATAAATACTGTAAATGTGTCAAGGTTGAAGGAAAGCAGAGTTGTAAAAGAATTAGCATGAAAACAGCTCTGTTTAAGGGGCTGCTGCCTCTGGAGGTTTTGAATTACTGTTCAAAGTTAATTCTAACATTGAAAATTGAATCAGTTTCTTCTGTTGCAGATCTTTGGGGAAAGGACTATGTCATCATATATATTTGTATATTTGCTGGGACAATGTAGTCTCAATCCAGATTGGGCGCTCTGGGCACTACTGTAGTATAAAATTACATCATCATGAACAATATTATTTACTACTCTAGATTATATTTTTGTTACAAGAAGGGGCTGGTAGAAATTCTGCATGTATTCTGTTATGTCAGGAATAATGCAGAACTGATTCAAAACAGAGTTTTAAAATTTCCAGATCTTCCTCTTGCTTAGTCCAGTTTTATACCAGCGTCACTCCACTTATTTTGATGGAATTACTCCTCTGACATACACTGGTGTAAATCAGGATAATCAGGTTTCATAACTTCATATCCCATAGTATAAGTTTCTTGAAGAGTTATGGGTGCATTCATTTTAATGGAGTTCTCATAATTAAAATAATCCGTCTGATTTTTTTTTTGCAGGTAAAAATGATATTTTTGGAGAGATGGTACATCTTTATGCAAAACCAGGGAAATCAAATGCTGATGTGAGAGCTTTAACCTATTGTGACTTGCATAAGATCCAGCGAGAAGACCTACTAGAAGTTTTGGATATGTATCCTGAATTTTCTGATCTCTTTCTCACCAATCTAGAACTGACTTTTAATCTGAGACACGAAACTTCAAAGGTACATACAGTAGGTGTTATTTTTTTCTATGATTTTCTTTCAAGTGTACTTGTTAAGTCACAGAAAAGAAAGACGTCCCTGGAAAATATAAGTTCTGGCTCTTCTTTTACACCAAAGTTAATGGACTTATAATGGTGTGAGAGTGGAATCAGTTCCATATGATCAGAACTGGAAAATATATGAAAAACAAAGGCTAACAGAATTGAAAGCAAAAGGCTTGAGGCCAAATTCTGTTCAAGAAAACTTACCTGTGTGGTCCCAGCAAAGTCGGATAGACCTAGCAGAAGTGAATGAGATGACTCAGGTGATATTAAACTACCAGGATTTGGTTCTTTATTCAAATAGTGTTAAGATTTCAACCAGAGGGATTTTGAATATTTTGATACGCCCATTAAAAAACTGTTTTGAAATAAACATGAATATAAACTTAATGAGGGAAATTTGACACTGTCAGTATATTTATCAGAAAAAGAAAATAAACAAGAATCAGGCTACCCTGGTTCCATTTATGACTAATACTACAACAAATGTAATTGTCCTGCAAATCTTCTGTCCTCTTGGACTACATTTCCTATATTCAAAATTAACTAATAAAACATATGAAGCACTCTTGGTAGGACACCCCACACTTGTCTTCCCTACCCTGAACCTGCAGAACCTCCGTTTGTCTCTCCTCCCACCAATGGCTTCCTTAAGATGCCTCCCTGCCCACAGTGCCCCCTTCAAGAAAGGAGAAGGAAGTGCAGCCTCGGTAGGGTTCACTTCTCCCAGGAAGTTTGTCAGTCTGGATTTGGGAAAAAAATAGAGGGTTGGCCATTGGCTGAAGGGGAGGATGCTTCTGGCTAACAGGAGCGAGAGGTGTTGCATTCGTTTGGATGGAATAAATGGGCCCAAAGAGTAAAAGGTGTTAATAAGACGTTGTCACTGTCCAACATTAAACAGTGTTAAACAAGGCTTGGGGTTTGGTATACAGAGACTTCAGCCTGCATAGTACCATGGCAAATACATAATTAAAAATCTTGTTACCCTTTTATTATTAAAAGAATGGGGGAAATTTGCATTATTTGAAATGTAAAGTATTAAGTAAAGCTTTCATTTGAACATCATCCCTTGTTCCCTTTCCTTTTTCTAGGAGAAAACCCTTTGTCTGACAGTCTTTTAGATGGTATCAAAGATAGTAATCACTGTCCTTTTGCGGGAAATGGGAGGAAGTTAGTTGAGATGGGCTGGAGTTTTTGTTGTTGCTGAAGTTCAACCCCATTTTCTGGAAGACAAAACAAGACACAAACACACAAAAGGGGAGAGGAAAGAACAGCAAAGATAGAACATGCAGCTTCTAACTCTGATGTTGAATCTCACTTGCAGCCTCACTGCTGGAAAAATGTAGGCACAACGCGCAGTCTTATCAGTCACTTCGAGACCTGGCAAACTCATACCAGCCCCAGGCTATTTAGGGCATTGCTTTTAACTGCCTCTTTCTGGTCACAGGCTCTCATCAGTGTTCCAAAATATACAGTCTTTACCATCTAAACTAGGCTCCTGTTAGACAGAAGGCAAACAGAGAGGGAGAGAAAAGAGAAGAAATAAGGTGGGAAAGGAAAAGGATACACAGAGTTGGAGGAGCAGGCTGTGATAAAGTCTTACATCCCAAGTAGTGGTTGGGATTTAGCTGGAGCCAGGAAGAGGTGGCCATATGTTCTGGCTCCCTCTTTTTTGGCCTGGCCTGGTCTGGTCAGGACACCTTTCAGGATTAGGATGAAGATCATGGGATAGCAGCTATGATGGTGAAGCTCACTCCTTCCCCTTCTCTCATCTTTGCCAGTCGGTGTTCTGGCACCCTGCTTTTCCCCTATGGTCTCTTTTTTTAAGAACCCCAACAGGGACTGATGGGCAGAATAGTCCATCCACTCGTTATTTTATCCACCAATTAGGCCTAATTTCTAACACACCAATTTTGGTTCATTGATTTCCAGTCCCATGCTTCTCTTGTTTGCCAAGCATGATTTGAAACACAGTCCTTGAATTTTGTCAGTAGTTCTTTCTGTTTGGACTAAGTCAGTCTTTGTCTCCCTTTCGTACCTTTTCCCATCAGCATTTATTGTAAGTGGTTATTGTGACAATTTATAAACATTCACTCACTTTTTACTGTTGAGCTCCCAATTAGGGTAAATTTGTAGGCCTAATTATCACAACATAATCCCTTTTTTTGGTAACCAGTTCTGCCTATGGTCGGACATTTGTTCATTATGTCACTAAAAACATATTTTAATTTAAGCACATAGAGGAGGGTGGGGGAGGGTACTTTGTTATTATTTATCCCACAGCTGGCATTTACAAATCTTATTTGATTAGATCTTACCAAAATTACAGTTAAACCTTCCAGATGTTAACAAAAGCTAAGAACTTACCACTTACTTGTTTTGTAGTAAAACAAATCTCAAACAGCTGCTGTTATATGACTGTAAGATGTTTAAAAAAAACCAGCTGTTATCAGTTCTTTGGCTGTATGCCCAGAATGGGTAAAGATTGGGGAGAAAACTTTCCGCTTCTTTTTGGCGCTTACACATTCAAAGCTGCATATTTACACAAACTGTGAAAATGTATGCACCAATGGTTAAACTTTGTCACCTAGAGAAATTTGTTTAGCTCTGATGGCATTTTTACCCAAGCGTATTGCCTTCTTTTACAAAGAAGCAACAAAATGATGTTCTTTAGGAATCACTTCTGCATTTATGAGCTATTTGGAACACCCAGAAGCAGTAAAACTTAGCAGCCATTTGTACTCTATGACAGAACTTGCCCACCTTTTTCACCACCAATATTTGTGAGGGCAGCTAAGCCCACCATGAGGATTTAACCCATGAAACAACAAAAACTGACATCACAAACAAAACAGAAAAAAAATGCAAAACACAAAAAAACAATAACCCCAAAACATTGTAAAAACAATAAGGAAAAATATTTTTAAAACAAAACAACTAAAATTGCAAAAACACAAAACAATCACAAAAATCTTGTAGATGGTATTAAAGATGGTAAAGACTGTCCTTTTTGGGGAAAAGAAAAGAAGTTAGTTGAGATGGACTCAGGGCTGACCTCAGGAGTAGGCCACCTGGGTGGCTGCCCACGGTGCCCAGTGGTCAAGTGGGTGCTGTGCAGCAGTGTAGGGCTGTGCGTTGCTGGTGTAGTGTCAGAAACTGTTCCCTGAGGAGCACTGCATGGGGGGAGGGAACTCCCTGCTTCCTCCTGGCGGAGGAATGTGGGGGAATGGTGACACACAGATACTGCACACACACACCCCAGTGTTTCTCCGTGCTCCCCTAGAGAGCTGTGTGGGCAGGGGAAGTGAGGAGCAACACCAAGAACTCCGTGCATCCAGGTCACTTTCCCCACTTGAGCTGGGCTGTGAGGCAAGCAGCAGGAGCTGCCCTCCCCTTATGCAGCCCAGGTGGGAAAAGTGACCTGGATGCAAGGAAGTCGCTCCTTGCTCCCCCCGCCCCAGAGCCCCCTAGGGGTGCATGGAGGAGCAACGTTCCAGGGAGAGCAAAGGAATAAAGTGGAGAAGGAAAGTACACATGGGTGAGGTGGAGGGGAAGTATCAGCATCTTACATCCTAGGCGGTGGTCAAGATTTACCCAGAGGTGGTAGAGGCGGCAATGGCACCTCGCTCCCTGTCTTTGGCCCAGTCTGGTCAGGACATCTTTCAGGATTAGGATGAAGAAGGTCTGGGATTTTAGGAGATAGTGGGGGTGACAGCTATGGTGGTGAAGCTTGGTCCTTCCCCTATTTTTGTCTTTCAGTTAGCCAGTGCTGCAGTAGCCAGTGCTCAGCTAAGTTCCAAAAGGGAGTGATGGGCAGAATAGCCCATCCTCTCATTTGTATTGGAAATTAGACCTAATTAGTGGATAAAACATCAATTTTGGTTAATTGATTTTTAGTCCTACATGTCTCTTGTTTCCCAGGCATGATTTAAAACACAGTACTTGAGTTATTCCAGTAGGCCTTTCTGTTTGGATTAAATCAGTCTTTGTCTCCCTCTACCTTCAACATTTATTGGTATCAGTTATTGTGACATTTTTTAAACTTTCACTCACTTTTCACAGTTAAGCTCACACTTAGGGTAAATTTGTAGGCCTAATTATCACAACAGAGGAGGAACAAGGGAGAAGCTACTACCTAGGTAGCTTTGCCTATCACATAATGCTGTAGAAGTGCATCTAGCCATGTCCAGAAAGTGTGGGCTATACTGCGCGATGGATCTGCCCCTTTATAGTTGTGTATTTGAAAAATGTAGTTTAAATTTAAGTTTAATTATTCCTGATATACATCACAGTATTTCAGGTGTTCCAGTATATTTTAAAGTAAAGATAATACAGCCTTAGTATGGAGAGACCACCCTGTAGCACTCTGCTCTTGAATCCATGCTGAGACATGAGGAGACAGAGACCACTGGAATTTTGTATGCAAATGCCGGGCACAAGGGTTGCTGATCAGCAAAGTACAAATCAGGGAGGTTCTACATATGTTTTAACTTTTTTAAAAAAATAGAATATATTAAAAGTCACTTTATAGAACAAATCATGTTATTTTTTAATGCTGAGCCTTCCTTCATAAAAATTGTATTTTTTTTCTTTACAAAATTATCCTTTCTGTTCCATATGTTAACTCTGCTTTGGAAAGGTCATTGCTATTATTTAAATGTTAGATATAATATATTTTACGGATACATTGAAGCTAGGCCTGAAACTCTGCATATTTGAGAGCTCCTTGAGGATAAAATTAATTCTTCATGATAGGGGCTTTTGAGCAACTATTTCCTGTACTTTCATCATCATAATGTTTTATAATTATTTTTCTCATTGGAGGCTCATTGTTAGTTAAAATGAAACTCTATCCATCATGTGTGTTAAAAATCCATGATGTAGAACCCAGAGACAATCCCCTCACACCCATCCTCCCCACCCATTAGTTCCTTAGGGGTGGCTCCTGCTTCTTACTGCCCCACCCGTACTCCCCCAAGTGAAGAAGCAACTAGAGACACTTTTGGCGCTCCACACAGTGGGAAGACACCCATGCCTATGAATTCGCAGGAACAGGGTCTTAGCTAGTAACTCATTGACTAACACAGCGTTTCTCAAATGCGGCCACCGTGACCGAATGCAGCCACCAGGGGCTTTTCATGCAGCCATGACAGCCTCCTGGGTGGTGATGGGGGGAGGCAAAGCATCAGCCCTTCCCACTCCTCCTTGTTGCTCCAGGAGAGAGGTGGGACACAGTGTTGAAGGAGCAAGGTGAGTTCTTGACCCACGTTGGGGGGATGGGGGCTGGGCAGCAGGTTCCAGCGGCAGGACTTCAGGAACCTGGCTATGCAGCCCTGGGCTCTGACAGCTGGGCAGTGAGTACTGACACCCCCCACCCCAGCTCTGGCCACACAGCCCTGGCCTCCAACTGCAGGGCTTCAGTCTCCGGCTCCTGGTTCCAGCTGTGGGGCAGCAGGCTCTGTCCCCAGCTGCCAGCCGGCTCCAAGCACAGGGCTTTAGGTGCCAACACATGGCTCTGGCCGTGCTGGTGCTGGCAGGTGCTGACCCCCTGCTCCGGCTGTTAGCTTCTGGGTCCCAGTTCTGGCCATGCAGTGCTGGGCGCTGGCCCCGAGCTCCAACCACACGGCCCCAGCCTCTGGTGATGATCCCCTGTCCTAACTTCCCAGCAGCAGGTGCCAGCCCACAGCTCTGGCCGTGCGGCCCCTGGCACTGATCCCTTGGCCCAGCTGCATGGCATCAGGCTGCCCTGCACAGCAGCAGGCGCCGGCCCAGAGCTCTATTCCCACGTAGCGGCAGGTGCTGACTCGTGGCTCCAGCCACCCACCCCTGGGCTCCAGCACCCAGCTCTGGGCTCTGGCCCTACAGCAACAGGCACTGGCCTTGGGCGCTGACCCACAGCTCTGGCTGTGCGGCAGCAGGTTCTGATCCCTGCCTCCAGCCACACAGTTCCTGTCCCCAGCTCCAGGCTCTGGGTGAGGGCACTGACCCCGGCCCTGGCTGCAGGGCAGCAGACACCAGGCCCTGACTCTGGCCACGCAACGGTGGGGCTCATCACCCACCCCATCGCCCCTGGGCCCTGCTGCCTCCCACAGCCCTGTATCCTTCAACACTGGACCCTGGTGCCTTCCTGGCCTCGCATCCATCCCCCTTTGCCCCAGGTCCCCACTGCCTCCCCTGGCCCCACATCCATCCCACCATCATCTCTGGCCCCTGCTTCCCCCATCCAGGGCTTAATGGGTTCTGGGGCTTGCTGAGAAAAGTGATATTAACAAGCATGCAAGTATCACTTTTCAGAGGAGACTTACTAGCTATCTGTGAAAAGTGATACTTGTATGTTTGTTAATATCACCTTTCCTAGCCTCCCAGGTAAGTGTGCTGTGATATTAACAAATTTACAAATATCACTTTTCACAGCAAGCCACAGGACCCATTAAGCCCTCGATAGGGGGTGGAGGGCTGAAGGGGGAAGCAGCATTATTTTTATTATTGAGTCTGCCAAAAAAAACCTACAAATACAATGATTTGGCTGTGTCTCTGTGCATTTTTAGTTGTTTTTTCTAAAGTTAATTATTTTAGGAAAAAGTGTCAGTGCGGCCACCAATGAGAGTTGGCGGCTGCATTCTGAGACCACCAAAAAATTTGTTGTGAGAACAACACTGCACTAACCTAACTCTCAAAATAATATGCAAATGATGCAATCAGCGCATCTGTGACCAGTGTGCTTTTGGAAACCCCATGCCGTCTCAGTTTTTTATTTAGCTGATAGATGCCTGTGCCTGGCTATCCCTGAGCTATTCCTACCTTCTTTTCTCCTAGCTTTTTTCTCCTCCATTATTTTATCCATGGGCACCATTGTGAAGTCCATATAAATCTAAACCTCTCCCTTCAGGACTAAATTTAGAGCAGCAGCAAGAGCAGTAAATGTTTCACCGTCCCTTCTTCCCAGTCCAGTGACATGACCAAGCAACTTACCCAATTGGCATGTCCTGTCTGAGCAGTAAGGGGAAGGGAAGTGGGTTCAAAGCCTATGCCTTGAGCATATTCACACACAGCACTGCCTTCATGCAAGATTATTTGTTTTTAAATACATTATCAGCATGTTATTGCTCAGTTTTTTGGCACTAAAAACAATTCAAATGTGTTAAATGTTTCTTGAATCCATTTCTGCAACAAAAAGCACAAGTTAAAACTTCATGTAGACAACAAGATAAGATGGATAAAAAGAGAAACCACAATTTTCAACTACAGAAAAAATATTTCAACGAGCTGAATCAGAGAGGGAGGAAGGGAGGGACTGGACAGATAAAAAAGGGTAAAATGCATGGTGTTTATCAACCTTATATTTATTGTTGTAAAACTTAACCTTTGTAATCATTACCATGTAATTAAACATCACAGCTAATTATAATCAGTTACCACAGTACTGCCTGCAATAATACACATCCTTTGTAAGAGCTTATTTTCATTTTTTTTTTCTTATTTAACTTCACCATGCTTTGTTACTTTAAAAAACACAATTCCAAGAAGCTCAGGAGCTGATGACAACACACTCATGCATTATAATGAACTAATTTGTCTGGACATTTATTTCACCATCAGATGGTATCACTGCTGGAATTATTCCATCCACGTGATCATTTTAATTATTAATATTGAGCTATGTCAATAGTGTTTTCATTCAATCCAGACTTAGTAGTGTAATCTTGTCTTCCTTAAAACTGGAACATGATTAACAGTCAATCGCCTATTGATAATATGCTGTTTTCAAATGGGACTAATCTGTCATTGCATTACATGTTTCATTAATCAAGGCTGATCTCATAATAAGATCACAAACCACTAATGATTCGGATGGAGATAACGGCAAACTTCGAAGAAGGAAATTGTCCTTTGAAAGTGAAGTAGAGAAAGGTAATTAACTTCATGTCTTATATTAAATAGACAGCACTGGGACATTATTCACTGATATTTAAGAGGGGTATTCTTTTCACTGGGTATCATAGATACATTAAGGTTCCATTGCAGCAATTACTTGTGAGCTACTCAAGGTTTTGTTGCTCAGCAGGCAGGGAGTTCTATGCAGTGGCTCTCAAAATAATTACACACGAACACTGGATCAGTTTCACCTTACCCTGACTCCTCAGCCTCCACGACAGACCCCATTGCTTTATATGTGTAGATACTTAGACAATATTGTGTCCTAGAATATCCTATTAAAAATCTTTGGAGATTCTAGTCTGTTGAATTTTTATTAGTCATATTAATTTTAGTCTCCCAACAAGCAGTGATTTTGTGCTTGATGCAGGCTAGTGTTTCTCAGTTCCTGTGATATCCCTGAAGTTATAGCATTTTGTTTGCAGTGTACAGTATATATACTCACCCTAGTGAATTTGTGCCTTAATTGGCAGTGTGGAAATGGGTCTCTTGGCAGGTCTTCAGGTGGCCTTTTCTATGCTTACATTAACATAAAAGGCCATTGGGAGTAATCAGAATGGAGGGGAGCATTTGGCCAAATATTAACTCATGATACCAGCATTAAGAGCTCATAAATACCAAGGGCATTGGTTAGGTACTCATGAAGGAAGCTAAATTAAGACTTGTATGCCTTTCTTTGGAGCTTGGTGAGTCCAATTCGTGTGTGTGTGTGTCTGTCCAATTATTTATTTGACAAATCAATGTTTCTGGTATTAGCCCCGCTCTGCCTTTTATGTTCCACTGTTAAAGGCCAATCCTAAATGCAGGACAGCACTACTTTGAGAGCCAAAGACTTGCTGATGATAAATGAAGGATAGGTGGAGTGCTGGAAGAAGGAGGACTTTAGACCAGTGTGTTCCTGATTAGCAGAATAGCATTACCATTTCATCAAAGAAGCATCTTTGAGGCATGAAGCCACAAGTGACAACACATCTGGCAGGAAAATGCCCCCATGAAATATTCAGTCTGCTCATCATAAAGAATGTGTTGACAGAGGTGCCTTACCTCAATAACCTTCACATTTCTTATGAGAAAACCTACCCTGCCACCTAGACAATATGGAAGTGAATCGTCAGCCTGTGCCTCCTGTTCAGAATAGCCTGCTAAGATGCCAGGAGGGTGGCAAAAACTGTGTTTTGTTGCTCTCATGGGTAGTTCTTTCCTGCTAAATTATGAGTCTCACTGAACAGTTTTCTGATTGCTGGCATTCTTTCACATTACTTTTGACAGGATGTCATTTGCCACAGTTTTGTCAATGAAAATAGCATGCCATTGTGGGAGAACAGAAATGAATGGTAGCCTACCCCTCAATTCTGGTAATTATAATATGTTATCTGGCTGCCTGAGTCACACCAGAGAAAGAAACTCCACCTCCGGAGAAGAGGAGACAAGAGGAGAGAGGGTAACCAGTGAGTGTGTGTAGTTTTGATCCCAACGGCACACTTCTTCCCTGCCCTAGTCTATGCCAAAATTCTGCACGCGGCCATAGCTGAAACAGAGCACATGGAGTTGTTTTTCTGTAGCCTGTCAGAGGGCCTGTGTTGTTCTGTGAAGAACCATGGCAGTTCCACTGATTTCAAGGCCTTCCGCACCTTTTTGAGGGTGTTAGAACAGAATTTGCCACATTCTAACTTAGACCACAATCGATAAACAGTTTGGGACAGACTCTGTGCAGCAGTTTAAGAGAGGTACGCCACAAAAGGCACAGCCCTTGGCTGAGAGACATATTTCTGGTCACAGTCGTGTTACTGTTTAGATAAAATGTTGTCTAAAGATAACTTTTAACAGTCATATTTTCGCTTCATAAATATAATCTCTAAAAACTAAGCAATCCGTGCATGCTGTTATGAGGCTTTGATGTTTTAAATCTCAGTAAAATCTTAATGACTTATACAGTCAGTTGTTCATGTTGCCTCTCTAGTGTGGTACTGAACTTACATTCGTGATCTTACAGAAGTGGAGCTCTTTTTAATAGACATATGGACCTCCTGCTAGTGCTTCCCATTCAGCTGTTGACCAACTGGTAAATTATACTGTTTAAAATTGCACTTTTTCCTCTTTGGTGTGAGCCTACAGTAGTTTGACATTTTCTCCCTTGTGGACTGCTAAACATGGATTTGTAATTCTCTCTCCCTTCAGTTCATGAAAGCCTGATTTGGACCTTGTTGCCCTGGTAACTCATTTTTCAATAGCATCATAGTTTCATCAGGGACTTAGACAATAACTCACAGCTCTTTATGATTTATCTGCAGTATGTACTTGCTTTCTTTCCTAGAAATGGGACAATTAATTCAGTCAAAGTAGTTTGTGATTTGCTGAACAAGCACTGTACTCTTGTGTGTGATACAAGACTATCTTATTCCACCCCAGATGCATTTCCAGCATATTCTAGATGAGTCACCACATATCTGATCGTAGCTTCTATGTATGGCTCTGTCATGGCTTATTCTTTAATGGCCAAACCCTGGTCCCAGAGAGCTTTGTGTTGCAGAGCTAGCCGCAGTTCTGTAGCCCAGCCTGTCTCTGTGGTTACCAAGAGCAATTGGAATCCTGAGAGAGCCCTCTTTAGGGGTTGCCACATGTCCACTACCTGGCAGCTTTACCCTCATGCTTACCCAGCGGGATTCCATGACTCTTATCCCACCTCACCTTTTGGGAATAGTGTTGGGGATGGGGGTCCCCAGTGCATATGCAGAGCACCACCACAGCCATAGAAGCCAGTTACCACAGACGACTGACAGTCATCCACAGAGATTGTTACCAAGATTACTTGGGCCCAACAGTGCTACTGGCTGACAGCTCATAAGCAGAGCTGTCAGCCAGGGTGAAGTTTTCTCCCCAACCTAAACAGGTGAGAAGTAATGGGGTGGTACAGTGCCTTCACCTATGCTTTTGCCTCCCGGCCCACCCACAGGGGAACATTTTTTTCCTTTCTTCCCCATTTCCCCCTCTCTCTCCCATAACAGGCAGTAGGAGTTATCCCAAACTCATGGCCCACTGGGTGGGGAGAAGGGGAAAGATAGTTAACCCTGAATTCAGAAGTGCTGTGGAGCCCCTCTACTCTGCCCATCTATGCTGGCCTGGCCATCTTCAGGGTCAATAAAGCCAGCATAAACCCCCATATGTGGCATAAAGGAAGTCATGGCATTGAAGTCATGGTCAGAATTTAGCCCTGACAGAGTAAGTAGGGCTTTGAAAACACTTTTCTGGTGAGCTAGTCAGAGTTCCTGCATCATTACTCACCCTGGTGTCATATTTAATTTTTTGTTAACATTGGCATTGATGGTGTCTCTAAGACCTTCACCTCATTGGGTCTATTCCAGCATGTAATCATTCTTACCATGAAGAGATGTTCTCCATGTCAGCCTGGAATTCATTTTGTCCTTAGCTGTACACTATCAGATGCACACTGAAATACGATGAACCCTAAGAGGCAATCAGATGTGAAGACTATCCATTCCAAGCAGATTACTTCAGGAAGAATGAGGTCAAACTCTACTAATGATCTTTCAAACTCCTTTGAGCAGGGCATGTAAAATCCATTAGCCACATCCAGGATAGTTGTGTTAAATACACCATCTTAGATTCAGTAACTTGAATGGAATGATGATGTCCTTGAAGGAAAGGATTGACTCTGGATTTTCATCAGTGTAAAAGGGATCAAAATCTGGCCCATGCTTCTAGTTTCTAGGGTAAACAGAATCTAGAGAGAGGGACATTGTTCTGTTAATACCCATTGATTCAGTGAAAATAGTTGTTCTGTCGACTTATTTGCCAACTAGTCCAGGACAAGACATTTAACTCTTGACAGGGAATTTTTATTTTCTTGGATTTCATTTTAGGAGCCCACAAAAGAAAGTCCCTATGAATCCTATTGATTGCATTTGCCCGGCTTGAAAGCAAGAAGTGTGTTCCTCAAATCCTACATTTTGCAAGGAACCCCTGACAGCAAGTATATAATCATCAGACAGTCCATCACTGCAGTTGTCCATCTGCTCCTATTGCAGCCTGTCCTAGGGGAGCACAGTTCCTACAAGAGCCTTGTTTCCAAGGGTAACTCCTACTGAAGCAGTTTTCTCATGAAATGTGGCCTTCTGGAAATGGTATATGCGGTCATATGTACTGTCAGCTATCAGAGAAAAATGATCTTGTAGTGGAAGATAAACTCCTAGTATAAGAGACTGGAATTCTATCATTGGAGTAAGAGATCCTTTGGCCTTCACCCTGCATCATTTTCAATTACCCTGACATTGTCATCTAAATAACATTAAGATTGTGACAAAACCAGACAAAGCTCAGAAAATTCACAGATCAGGCTCTCACTCCATTCCTAACTCATGCCATTGTGCTAAAAATGGCACAAAAGAATAAGTTAAGGATTGAATATTTGCTTTAACTTTGAAGTTTCCGGCTTTGAATTTGACACACATTTACAGTCACTCAAAACTAGTCGCTCTTTTTTATTCAATTTAAAGAAAGGAAAATAAACCTTTATGGAAAGGTTATCTAGCCTGTATTATTTGCCTGCTGTCCCATTTGCCTGAGTAATACACTTAAGGTGCTATAAAAATAATTACACACACAAAAACTACATTAAAAGAGCATTATTAAGGTTGCAAAGTCAGGCATTCAAAAGTCAGGAAATGCCAGAATTAAGGCTCTCTGTGCAACTTTAATGCAGCCCCCTTATGCCTATACATTATGACACAATCTTTAATTCCATGATCACATACTATTTTTTCCAGAAGTCCCCTGCTTCATTCAATGCACAGAATGCATGGTGCTCACTTAGTAAGCAGCTATTCAATATTTTGTTTTCTCCTTGTTGTTGAATATGTGGTTCTAGGCTTTATTAATGCAGTATCTAGGTGCTCAACAAGGTAAATTAGCTGCACAAAGCATTGTCTTTGGTGGAGTTCAAAGTGGATTCTTCTCTC